TGGGGCCCCAGATTCGTGAAGAAGAGAAGAGGCACAACAGCGAGATACCTACGGCTACCTTTGACAACCTCTGGCTCGTACTAAAACCTGGGGAAGTCGTATATGCAAAGTACGACAACCAGTGGACTCCGTTTATGATCTCCAGTGTCGTCGATGGCTCGTCTACCAACGATAATAGTACACCGTATATCATCAACTGCTGGAATATTTCATATGCTTCTGAAAGATTCTGCCGTGTCATGCACTCGTTTGACATTAGCCCCTTCAATGGAGAAGAGGTCATCAAAAACCTTACCGTCATACCTTCTCGGTTCTTCCAGGGCGAGAATGGCAATGCCGTTCCCCAAGAACTTATGGCCAAGCAGGTCCTACTCGGAAAGAAAACCTGGGAGCTTTCAAAGGGACCAAACCATATGTTTTATAACGGACCTCTGATTGAAAAGGATTCTGACTTCGACCGGGATTACTCAACCGCCACAGGCGACTTGGAAGGCCGTGTCATTGTCGACAACGTCGGGTTCTCTCAGTATTCCTTTGAACATCCCGAAAGAAACAACCTCCGGCCACGAGCACGCTCTCCTCCGCCTAATCGCATACCGCCGCGCAAAGATCAACTACCTTACTTTCCCCCCAGGTGCGCCTGTAGCGCTTGTACCAAATCATATTCAAAAGAGACGCTAAGCCCATTCGCTACGTTCCAGGATCTTGATCCAACCAGCGACTCGGCCCCGGAAATAGACCTCTACTATATCTTGTTGAGTAAGATTGTCTCCGGATTCATACTCCGCGATCGACGCTGGGGCAATTTCAATGTTGAGCATCTCCAATATGTTGAGTTTGACAAGGAAGCCTTCAAGTATCTCGTATTAGATGAGGAGGTAAAGCTTACGGTTCGGTCACTGATTGGTAGGTTCGCCAATACCCATGGTCAGGTCAGTCCGTGGCCAAACGACTTCGTCAAGAACAAGGGCCAAGGCCGAATCTTCCTCCTCCATGGTCCTCCAGGCGTAGGCAAAACTTGTACCGCCGAATGTGTTGCAGAGCTCACTTGTCGTCCTCTTCTCTCGCTCACGAGTGGCGACCTTAATATTGACTCTTATAATGTTAGTACCCAATGCCCCTTCATCCCATATTAAAAGCTATGCTGTCCCTAAGCTACCCAAGGCTGTTATCTGAATGGTTCTCTACGCATCCACTCCAGAGACAGAACCCTTGGTCGCTAAACTGTTTGCTAATATCCAGCTATAAATTAGGTAGAGAGAAGCCTCGAATATTTCCTGAAACTGGGCGAGCGCTATGGTGCTGTTGTATTGATCGATGAAGCTGACGTGTACTTGGAAGCGCGGCACGTACTCGACATATCGCGGAACAAGCTAGTCTCAGTCTTCCTGAGAGCACTTGAGTATCACCGAGGAATTCTATTCCTTACAACAAATCGAGTGCAGACGTTTGATTCAGCCTTCACGTCACGTATTCACGTGGCCTTGCATTATAAGGCACTAACAGACCCCGACCGAGAGAAAATCTGGCTCAATAGCTTTGAGCGACTAGAACGCGACAGCGGAGATAAAGTACATATCAGCGTGGCGACACGTGAGTATGCCTACGAGAGCCATGATGTGCAGAGTCTACGTTGGAACGGCCGCGAAATCCGCAACGCGCTACAAACGGCCGTCGCCCTTGCGGAGACGGAAGCGCTCGAGGAAAACAAGGAAAAGGTCACAGTCACTGACAAACATCTGAGGGCTGTAGTCAGAATGAGCCGCGGCTTTAAGAACTTCCTGGGTCAGCAGAAGAAAAGGTCCAATGATGATGTCGAGAAGGATGACGAAGAATTTGAGGGCAATGGAGAAGGCTCCACTGTCCGCGTCAATTGATAGATAGCATATTAACTCTAACTCGACTATGATTCTGTTTTATGAGTATTGAGGTTAGTGGAAATTCTGCATTGGACCGAGATGACTTACGAATTTTCATTGCCTGGAATTTGAGACCGAACAGCCTGTACGTTCGTTGAGACTTAAGCTTACCAAATATCCAACAAAAGAACACGGATAATATACCAGTAGTATGGACTATCCTCGTATACTGGTAACTGTGGACGTACGCGATAGTAGTGATATCTTGCTTATGACATCTAGTTGGAGGATTGACTGGCGAATAGGGGCTTCTGGGGTCGACGCACGCTTCACAACTATCCAAATAGCCAAGGCCGCGGCTTTCACGTGAGCGCCATTTCCAGCACCATATATTAAGAGGAATCTTGTAGGTCCCAGGACATAAAGCACAATTCCTAGATAAGTATGGGTTCTATTGGCCAAAGCTGGTCATGACCCAATGACCCAACATATTTATCAAACGAAACAAACAAGCTTCTACTTCGAACCACGGGAGGTCGCTACCGCTTCCACTTCAAAGTCCTTACCGATATACTCCTCTTATGCCTGCATACCCGGGAGGTGGTCAAGCCCTGATAACAAGTCAGCGTCTAGAAGTTGTTACTGGGAAGGTTGAAAACTCACATCCATCGGTCTCTTCGCCAACCATGTCAGGGACGGTGCACTTGTTAGCTGTAGACATGACTTGCTTCGTGATAGAACCACAACCGTCGTAGAAGCATTCGGACTTGTTCATGGCACGCTGCAACGAGTCACCCTTCCAGCCGAACATGTAGTCGGCGTGGGTGCCGTATCCACTAGTTCCGTGGAAACTCCATACAAACGGATTGGGAGCTCCTGAAGGCCACATGCTGTTGAACTTGGTCGTATCCCAGACCGTCTCGTAGGTCAGTTGAGGCATACGGACAGGGTGGGATGCAGGACATGGTGGGGCATTCATAAAGCCGTCGTACTTGATGGTGTTATACATGTGAGACTGGTGGTCGGGGCTATCAAGGTTCTTGCCATCCCAGCATCTGATTATTGTTATTACCAACCCCCATACTAGAATAGTAGACTACTAACGCTGGGAAGTGGTGGACAGCAAAGATACCGCCCGGGCAGGGCCTATCGGGGAAGTCCACCATTTCTGGACCTCGGTTTAGAGTGGTCTGTAAACAGTTGTATCGCAGACCGATGTGGCCCTTGGCCTTATCCAGAGTGTCGGTGGTCGGGCTGCCAACCGTCATCCGGAAGCCCTACAAAGTATCAAAATCCCGAGCTCTAGTATAATATCTAGAAGACTTACTGGCTTGAAAGCCGTGATGGGCTGGTTCTTCAAGTCATCGGTGCTGAAATCGTGCTGTGTATAGTAGATGGTCATGCCACCTTTGGTACCGGGTGCCAGAGCAGCGTTGTTAATCACAGGGACTCGGTGGTAGCTGCCGTTGGTCGGGTGCTTGAAATATAGCACGGCAGTCCAGTAATTCGAAAAGTCCTCAGACATCTCGCAGGTGGTGCAGGTGGCCCTGGCTCCAACATCACCAGTCATGGTGGCGTTGAAGGCGTTACCGCCTACGATGTGGTGAACATGGGCCGAAGGGTTGTTGCCGGGCTCGACGACAGGATCAAGACGCTGGATAGTCAGCGATGAGCATCCAAAGCGCAGACCAGCCTGCACTGGCGCAGCAAGCGCTAATGCGATGGATAACGACTTCATCTCGGCGGCGGATATGTCTTGGCAGCAGAGGTATGTAGAGGTAGGCGAAGCAAGTCTCGCAGCTTGGTGTCCGGTGAGCTCTTATAAGCGCGGTTCTGCCCTCATGGAGCTGTGAGGTGCCCTGCGCAGCCACTTATCTCGCTGCCCGCCCAGCCTAGTTTGAGGTAATCTATTCTTATACATACAGTATATCACGGTAGTTGAAAACTTACCTTGGAATTGGGGCAGACTGGTACAGGTCGTCCCCATGGGGAACCAGGTTCCATCCGCAGTACCATAACTGTTTTGCCGGTGGCAAGGGTATCTAATTTATATATGGAATAAGTGGCAAGTAAGATTTCCTTCACAACCCGGCAAATATGCCAAGTGGATTCTGGCTTCCCGGCAAAAGTCCCTTTCCACATGAGGCCCATCAGTCCCTGCGCGTAGGTGAGTACAGCTGCCAATAGAGCTGAGATTGCTTTACATCACACTGCATCTCCTACAGATTATCAGTTATACGGCGAATTAGGGGAGCAGCAAATACAAGGATATTTATGAGTTGAGGGCGTAAATATTGATAACCAGACAAGGCCTGAGGAGCTCACTATGCACTCCGACGTGTCGACCCAGTCATAAGCGAGGAAACTATTTCAAATATTTTTTAAGAAAAAACCCAAAAAGAAATGGCGAAACGGAAGAAAAAGAGATAAAGAGATAGAGGGTAGAGGTGGATGTGAAGGTATGAACATATTAAACAAACATACATGCCACTATGGTAATTACTCGATACAGGTACTAGAGGGACTTGGTTATAGAACTCACCAATCTAACTACAACAGCATTCAATGTCAGTATACCTACTGCATATCACTACTGTAGGCAATGGCAGTACAATGAGCGATAAATATGTTATCATTAGTGTCACAAAATTCCACTTATGGCTTTCATTCTTGAGCTCAATGTAAAGGGGTCTGCTAAGCATCATAGGGCACTATATACTACTTTGTAAAAATTGCCCAAGTAGGGACAGCGCTTTAAGTAGTGTGATATTGTTAGAGAGATTACCCACGGCATTATTTTGTTGCGACAGTGAAGACATTTCGAAATCATGGCAAAAAAAAAAAAAAAAGCATCTTCGGTCAGGTTATTGTTCTAAGAGGTATTTTTGTGCTAAAGATGTGATGTTCTACTGCTCAAACTCTATCATTGTAGGGTTCCGTTGGATAGTAGCCCTTGAATATTGTAATGATCACTATTTTATATGATTGAATTCTGTTAAATTCGCTTTCATAGGATGAGAAGGCTTTGTGGTAAGAAATTCGAAGGCCACGAGACCCACCAAGAATGGCTACTTCTCCAGTAAAAAGAGAATGAGTGCTAATTTTATAGGTAACATTTGAAAAGCCAATTACCACGCAAGAGGACCGGTAGCTCAGCGGTAGAGCGTGGGATTGCAGTTATTAGAACAACAATTATCCTAAGGTCACGCGTTCGACCCGCGTTCGGTCCTCACCAAATAATTTTTTTTGAATCGTGATATTCTGTGCTTTCCTACATAGGTATGCATACAATCTTCCAAAAGACTTTTCATCCCTTTTAAATTTTTGGCTCCAATACCCATTGTGCACAGAACTCGTACGCAAAAAGAAAAAAAAAAAACAAAAAAAAAAGAAAAAAAGCCTTATGACCGAAAACGCAAACGCGGCAGGCAAACACGACACGTTATCCCCTTAACTGGCAGAAGGCTACACCCTCCCTTGCAGGCGGTACAGTACAAGGCCTTCCTTTAAGAACAATGTAATAGGCCCACCTTGAATAAGTCTTTCAAGTCTTTCAAAATAGCTTCAAACTGCTGTAAGTTACTTGCTCAACCTGTACGTACAACTGCTAATCGATATCTAGATCCTTAATGGCTTTGATAGCTTTGATACGGCTTTGATTTTAGCTATTTGTGAGGCTTAATGTGTGCGAATCCCGCATTCCAAGCCTCACAAGCGCCAGATCATAGGCCTCAACTTGTTGCAACCGTTGATACGGCGCGTGCGATGTGTCTATCTTTAGGGCTGTAGCTCATAGCTGTAGGCCTGTGGCCCGTGGCTGGGAATAGCTTCAATCGTAGATATTGCTGTGATGTAGCCTTTGTAATGTTGAAAATACCGGTACTTGTGGTGTAAGAAAGTTTAGGTGTGAAATTAAGTACTTTGATTTTATTGGTTTATTTGAAATGACGTTTTACAAGCTTTCTTCTTGTACTGTACCGCCTGCAAGGGAGGGTGTAGCCTTCTGCTAGTTAAGGGGATAGGATACGATTTCTGCACAACGAAACGAAGCATTGAGTCAAGATTCAATACCGTCTGGTTTCTAACGAAGTAATCCCCTCAGAATTTTTTACTAATTTTTAACTCCTCTGCCTTTTACCGAGCGTTAGCGAGGTAAAAAGACGTCGTCGTCGGTCTTCCACGCAAAGTTAGACTTCGTTACTTCACGTCTTCAGCATAGCTCCCACTAAGTCCTCCACCTCCCTCCCCCCCATCACAGCATTGATGGCACAAATTTCGAAACCTGCGGACCGTTTGACCGCATATTCGAATCTCGGTAGTGTGGAGGATTGCATAGATGCAGTCCCTCTTCCATACCGAGAAAATATTAGACAAAAGTTTTATTTACTCAGTAACAGTTTCGACCGCTACAGACGAGTCAATAAAACCCTCCAAACACTGCGAACCCACAAAAAGAACGGCACACTGCCGCCCCAACTCAAGGCAATCTCGATACCAGAATTCCAGTTCATGAAGGAGTTCCTTGAGAAGGAAGGCGAGAACAACCCCCAAGCAACAATCGGCCGACTTGTCCAAGACTTTAAGTCAAAGGCTCTAGACACGGTCATCGAAGCAAAAGAACGGGAAATCGCCTTCCTAGGGAGCCTGGTCAATGACCAGGAAACCATTAAGTCCATGACGAGCGAAATAACACGCACGTATCAGGAACAGTTGGCATGCCACAGGAATACCAACGATTCCCACATGGCCGGTATTGAGACAGCACCCGGTATTGCGGGGGAGCCGTCTCACAACAACACCGATTGGTTGGAAACCGACTACAAACGCGCACTCAATGACGTGCCCGTTTTAGCTCGCCGAGTAATCGAGATCGCAAGATCCCGAGATATGGCGGACTTGCAAACGTCCCTAGCCAAACTCAAAATCCACCAAAAAGCTATGCCCTCACAACCGGAAGCAGCTGTGACTGTTAAAATCCTCAACGAGTATTTCGATGAGAGGCTAGCAGAAGCGGTAAAGCTACTGCAAGCTAAAGGTATGATCACGTCAGCACACAACACACGTGTACTGACCAGTGCTACTAGCAAGACCCGGCAAAAACGCAGGCTCGAAAAAGAGCGACAAGAAGGCGCCCAAGGAAACGAAGGCAACGGCCACAGGAAGAGTGACCAAATCACAAAAAGACAAAAGACCTTAGATGGAAGGACAATCCAATGGGATAACCCCTCTACTTTTCCGGACGGTATGTTAACCGAACCTATCCATAATAAGGCAAGAGGAAAGAAAGAAGAGGAAAGAAAGAAGAATGTTCACAAATTGGAAGGAATCTAAATATACTCAGAAATTGAGGATATTCTGAGCCTCGGTGGTAGATATTTATTACATAGTAAACATAAGAATAAATGAGTTAATCACCCTCGCATGGGAAGATTTTGAACGTCGCATTCGTTGGAAATGCAAATTCAGCGATTCAAAAGAAGAGCCTTATGATCCTGATTTGGAATTTGAGTACGAGAGGGGAAATCTCCCAGACTTAGCTCCATACCACATTGAGCAAAGGTTGGAAAAGGGGAGAGAGGCGCTTAGGTAGCAACTCAATAGAGTTTTTAGCAAAAAATACTACAACACTCACGAACATTGAGAGCACGGATGCACTTGTTGAAAACGCCTTGGCATACAATAAGATCACCGCACTCGTGGACGTCAGCCCCAACTATCCTAACGGACTAACTAAACAAGAAAAAGTCTACTTGCGGACATCTGGAGACCATAGATCTTCGTTCCCCATGTTCGCCAGGGCCCCCAGGATACATAAGAAACCTATGGCCTTCAGACCTCTTATACCATGCCACTCAGCTACGTGTAATCCGGCAGCAAAGATCTTAAGTAAACTGCTCAAGCCAGCCATAATGGCTAATAAACAAATCATTGTTTCATCAAAACAAGTTTGTGAGACGCTTTCGTCTTTGACGATCTTACACGGCAAAAAAGCCTTCCTATGTACAGCCGATGTTGTCGCCTGTTACATAAGCATACCTCTACCACCATAAAGTCACCTTGTCCATGCTACGGGGGGTCTGTCTCAGGGGTTCTCTACCTGACTGATGAGTCCATGAGGGACGAAATAAACCACATGTGTCAAGCCGTGAGCCGCGGCAGAGCCAAATGGGATGGGCGTAAGAGGCAGTGGGCTCAACAGCATCACGCGTCATATCGGGGTTAGACCATCGGATATCTATCAGATAGAAAGGACTACCTAACTATATAAGTTAGCGGTAAAGAGGTTACGAGATGACAGTGTGTACCTTTTCGATGATTGGACGCAATATTTAGGTCCACTTCAACAGGCCCGCGGGGTAAGACCCTTCAGAGCAAAAGATGTGGAGAAAAAGTACCCCAATAACTGATTATTGCGACAGACCTACAGTTACCATTGGGATAGAAATGGTGAGCATGTCTTTTTAAAAGAACTAACAATAACGGAGGTCGTTGAGAGTAAAGTGTCAACAACTTTCACATTCTAGTTCAATCTACCTAAGAGTGGACACATCTAATCTAGGTGTTCGATTTTTTGCACATTTTAAGCCACAGCTTTTTGACCAATACTACCTTACATTACAAAAAAGAAAAAACCAAAAATAAAGCTCATCTTATCTTAATTCCTCAGACCTCACCAACTTCTTGCGCCACCGGACCGTTGGTTCATGTGTTTGCAACTGTGGGGCACAAAATGCGCATACGCACAGTTTGCGTTTGATTGATTTTGATTTTTTTTCTTTCTTTTTAAGCTCTAGTTCCATGTTTGCGCTTTTTTGGCCTACAGGTACAAAAACACAGACCAACTATCCGTGGCGGAAAAAGGTATTTCGTACAAAGGAAAGAACAAAGAAAACTTGTTGTAGTGAACGCGTAGCATGGCCTGGTAACGCGCAGCGTGACCGTTCTAAATGTTAACTAAAGTCGCCGTTTAAATCTTCTCTTCCTTTCCTACATAACAACTACCTCCCGCTATTTCGCAACGAAAAATTGCTCTGCGAACGTTATCAACAATGACGCCGAACGATTTCAACACTTAGAGAAATCACAATACAATAACCTTTCATAAATGCAAAAGCGTTCAAATTATTTACCGTTTTTGTTAACGCGCCGTTTTGTAACGTTTTTTGCTCTTATTCTCTGAGAATCATGCGTGGTGATGGATCAAGACCAGTTGGATATCATCAAAAACAATCCTATCAGCAATGGTTTAGATAGGTTTCACTCATTTTTCAATTCGATTTGCAACAACAAGAACATCCCTTGTTCTCCAGAAGCGCTAATACAGTTCAACCAAAAAGGTAAAATGAATTACTATCAAAATGCTTTTCTAACCAGCGTATAGATATGCGAAGTCTTGCTGTGGAACTCATACCAGCATTTTGGAGACTCCTTATCACTGAACTCTTACCTTCCAGAACAGGCCATGGCACATTACAAGACAGTCTTTTAATAGCCATTCGCGCTGCTGGTTCCAAAGACTTCGACGACAGCCGTTTCAGACCTTTACTAACAGCAACTATTGCTAAGAAGCCTGATGAAGAGATTTGGACTCATGTATATCAGACTGTTACCGAATGTACTCCCCCTCCACGACTGATAGCCTCTTCTCTTGAGCAAACACCTTGGTTGCACAATATGAGCAGTTTTGTCAACTCCTGCGAATACCGAAAATACGTAGACGCTGTGTTGAAAGAGGAGCTCGGCCTTATGTATGTCGGGCTCCCCAACTTCTATGAGACATACTTTGGGGGTATCGCCGGTCTTGATACCGCAGCTGAAGCTATATTCAACAGTTGCACCAAAGGCAAAGAACTGTTGTTTAACAAAGAAGGATGGTGCGGGTGGCCGCAAGATGCGAATCAAGATGACGTTCTCAATTGGTTTGCTGACATCAGCGACAAGCTAGCATCATTCGCAGAAAAATACAACTCTGCTCGGACATGCCGAAAACCACTGGTACAACCTAATAAATCGATCCAGGGTTCTACGGCGGAGCGGAAGATAGATGTGGGTTTTATAAGGAGCGATGAGGTTATAGGAGGCGGGGGATATTCTTGGTCGCAAATACTTATANCTGGAGAGCTTAAGAGTAACCCCTTAGCCGATGCTGCTTCGGCAACGTGGCTCGATATTGGGAGATACTCAAGAGAAGTACTCTTCGCCCAAGATACCCGCCGATTTGCTATCGGCT